TCCCTTAGGCTTGAGTACCTAGCATTGGTATCAGAGCCTAGGTTCCTGACTGCGGAGGGAGCGACCTGGAAAGGGCTACCTTAACGGGATGACCAAAGGGTGCGCCGCTGTTAAGAGTGAAAGCCACCAGAGTAAGGGCCGCTGTGGGCGTTGGGTCTTCCGAAGGGTGGTGTGATGTTATGATCCCACATCGGCTACACTATAAATGGTGTAGTTGTACTTAAGTCCTTGGGGTCCTCCCACCTATTGGACTAGTCTTTTGGATTGGGCTCTTCCCTTGGGCTTGAGTACCTAACAAAGGGAAAAGAGATATGAAGACATAGAGGGAGGCGGAAGGGGAAGGAGGCGATAGGATAAGAAGAAGCGCTTTGAAATATTTATCTATATCACATGTTAATTTATAGATTTTATTTTTAATTTTTATAATTAACCTATATCACATGTTAATTGTATTTATCTATCTATAAAAATGGTTTTTATTTTCTAAATGGGTGTAAAGATATTTATATATTGAATTGTGTCTATAAGGATAATTTAGGTAGTAAATTTGGGTTTAAAGAGATAGTTTAATTAAAAGTGATGAAGGTGTAAAAGTAAATTAAGTATAGAAAGAGATTATATAAGTTCAAATAAAATTTTCCTAAGAGTTTCAATATAAAGAAAATACCTTACAAAATCAAATAAGGGAGTTGATTACAACTCATCTATCTCACACTTAATTTTTAAGTAAAAATTATCTTAATACACCCACCAAAATACCTTCCACCATAGAGTGCTCTAGACCAAACACAATAAATCGTAACCGTCTGTATTTAGAAAACCGAAATTTTATTCAAAAAATTGTGATGAGGTGTTAACAAAACAATCCAAAAAGAATGAAGCTAAGCACCAACTATGTGGGTTTTATTTTGAAATTCAAAACTCAATTTAAAGTTATATTTTTGTCCTCATTAATTGAATTGTCTTATGTTAAAATTCTATTTGGGAGTCACTTAGCATTACGGTCTAGTGATATTCCTCTTCACTTGTAAGCGAAAGGTTTTAGCTAGGTTCGATTCTCGCCAAAAACGAATTTCAACCACATTATTGCTAGCCTATTATGAAGTTTAGCTCATTCCCTCACCTCTTTAGTGTAAATAATATTGTTTGCCAAAAAAAACTCAAATTGGGAGAAGGATAATTTTTGGTATTTTGAATTTCAAAACTTGGGGACTACAATTGTTGATAGCACGTAAATCCTCTGTGTGGGCACATGTGTGTATCTGTAGCGTTGCTTTCTTTAATCTGAGTGTATATATAGTTGACCATTAGCAGATTTATTTTTTATTCTTTTAGCTGATGAACCCCATTTCAAAAGGATAAGACTAAGGCAGGCAAATTAAGTATCTTGTGCAACTGAAAAAGCACCCTATAGGCTATAACTATAATCAAATACTTCTGATTACATCTGGAAGTTGGGTTTGTGCATTTTTCTTCCACACTTTCTTCGATACTGTTAATGGAAATGGAAAACCGAAAGTGATAACAATTTTTGCACTAACCTTTTTATTTGGATATTTTCACTTTATTATATGCCATTTTTCATTTTGTAAAAAAAAAAGAAAAGAACTTTTTATGTTTTTAGCTCGGGATTGAAGATGAAAAATTAAAAATATAATTCTAAAGGCATTAAATTGCATATTTTTTGTGCAAAAAATGACACATGGCATTTAAAAAGGTGAAAAGGTCCAAATTCAAGGGTTAGTACAAAGGTTGATAGCATTTCTCATAGAAAAATATGAGGATGCAAGATTTTTTGTTAAACATAAAAATAATGATAGAGTGGAAAAGCTGCAAATTTAGACATCCATAGTTTGAATCAACTTCTGGGGCGTGTAGATTCTAGTTTCAACTCTCATGAGCATAAAACTATACAAATATATTGAATTCGTATATGTAGTTTGTAAGTTACTACACGTATTTAGGGTTGAACTTATAAGTTTTACACGATAAAAATAAGAGCAACTCAGAACAATTTTCTACTTTCTAAAAACAGAATCTTAGTGGATTGTTTGTTTGTTTGGTCATTTTCTTTTGGGACAATAATCATATGATGGCGTTTGTAGAAGGAAAGCATATTAAGAAAACACAAGTATGGTCAATCAATGCTGGTTTAGCTGCTAAATATTAGCATTTAGCACCTTTTGTGCTCCCATTTGGACAAATACACGAAAACAACTCCTGTTATATATTACTTCTAAGTCTCATAAAATAATGCTTATGAATTATATGATATATGTTGCCATCAAGTCTTTGGATTAATTTTATTTAATTTAGAGTTCCTACCTAACTAAAGTTTTGATAACTTTTGGAAGATAAAAGAAAGATGCATCTCTATAATTTTATGCCAAAAATTTATTTGCATCCTAACAACCACTCATTTAGTTCAAATTATCCGACAATTCCTTTAACTAATACTGGGAGGATTTGATTAAGTATTCAAGTTATCAAGAAACCTATAATTTTCAACTTTATTATTTTTCAAAGGAAAGATGAGACTATCGGATAGAGTTTTCTCTAGATCTTATTGTTTGGAGCCCAAGATCATACAATTCAGATCATTGGAAATGAATTTGATCCTATTAACAAATTTCATTGGTCCACCACACACAAACTAAGAATTCAAATTCTTTTTCTCACAAACAAAAAATACAATTTTTTAATCCTTAGACTCCGGACATAATTCAAATTCGGGAGCATATATATGCTGCATTTGCTAAATTTCTCTGCTTCGTATTTTTAATTTCTAAACTCCTTTTTCTGGACTCTTATGTAATTTGCCGATTTTCGAAGTTTGGAATCCATGAGCAAAGGAACAAAATCCACCGCTAGCGAATTCAACACAAAACATAGTTTTTTCATTGTAAAAGCAAGCCCCGACAGCCATATGAGTAATAATTAAATACAGTGAGGCGTATCTGATTTATATATTACAATATCTGGTTTGTTTATTTATTCTTTCACTTAAGAATTGGTGACTCTGATGTGATCTACGTCATTGGTTCATGATCGGACACTGTCTGTTTTTTCTGACATGATGATCGCAACCATCCATGTGTCTCTAATTGTAAAAATGCACACGTGGCCACGTTGTCATTCCTCGGGTTTATATTTGGATTTCTTCTCCTCAGTACCAATATATATTGTTAATCGGATTCTCATCATCAATATTTCTTTTTAATGCGATTACATAATTGTAAAGCGAATGACACTTGTCAATAACATATGTCAGATGTTTAGTTTATTTAGTAATAATGTTAGCATAAGTCGCGCACAAAAACGTGATTGATATGGAGAATTCATGTTCTTGCAATCCATATAATAAAGAGTTTGAAATTAAACGCCCATCTAAATGCTCAATTTATTTATTAAAAAATAACAATGCACAAATACTATTGGATATATAGGGATTGTCACACTCTTAATTACGGTGCTCTTATTACGATTCCAATTGGATCGTTCATGATTTTGCAATCCACATGCTAGAGATCTTAAAATCGATGATGCGATTTATCTTAACATTCCTCATAAAACAAGAACAATATACAAATAGTACTATGATATTATATAGCAGTTTTCACACTATTAATTAGATATTGTAAATTAACAAAAGTCTCGTAGAATAACGTGAATTAGTAACAATCATTCATGTTTTTGCAATCCAAATAACAGAGAGTTTAGAATCAATTCATAAAACATATGAACGTTTCTCTTCTTTTATTGAGAAATTACAATACACAAATACTATTAGGTATACAATGATTGTTACATTCTAAGAGTATCCTTATTCTAAGCATGAAAGCTATAAGATAATTAATTTAAAGTGTTAGAACTAAGAGTGCGAAAATTGTTGCTTTATTAGATCGTTGAGACTCGAAGCGAAGGATTTGTGTTAGAAGATAATTATTTTAATATTGATAGTGACCAAATAATAAAACAATACTGTGGGATGCTGTTCTTTAGCGGTATGGAGTGCAGGGGGTCCTATAGGTAGGGAACAAGCTGAGAACAAACAGTGTGATGACCATGGTGGGCGTGTTGCTCTACTTTTATGTTATATATTTTAGGTTTTGTGGAAAGTGGCTGAGCCAAAGGGGCCACTACCCTCAATGAAAAGTGTGGTACTAAAATTGGTTCTTAAAAGTGGCCTCACTCACATGACCATCATCAGAAGCTCCACTCTGTGATAAAATAAAATAAATAAACACCAATTGGAATGTTAAAATTAATTGTTTCGAATATTAGCACTCTTTAGAATATGAACATACCTTTCAGCTGCCAGAATTTGACGCATACAGATGCCAAGAAATACTCAAATATAATCACATTTCGAAATAAAAAAGATTTTTCATGACCTCCAAAAACAAACTCCCTCTCTTCCTCTCTCCTTCTCTCTCTTTCTTAAGTTTCTCACTGAAACCAGGCTGGTGATGTTGGGGTCTGCTAAGACCAGACAAAACTCAGACAGGGTGTGAATGCGGCGGTGCACTCCTTACGCTGCACGTTAACGATACATGTACAAACAATAACAGAATTTCTTATTGACGGATACTCTATGAAAATGATAAACACACAGCTATTTTAGCTTTCACACACTCTTGTTTAATTATATCTGTTGTTTGTTTGATTTATTCAATTTGACAGCTAAAAATAAAGAGAAGTATGTGAAAAGCTAAAAAGTGTGAAAATCATCACCTCCCATAATTTATGTATAGTTGAATTCAAATTACGGTTTAAGGAAGCGGACACACGGTCTAAACCAATTGACCTAACCAAATGGCTACGTCGCATAAAGTCTCTGACAAAACCCTAAATGTTGACCATTTTTACCTGACATACTGAAATTTTTGTCGGGTAAAACCACTTGACCCGACAAATATGGGTTCGTCGGGCAAAGTTTTGTGGGCAAATAGTAATTTCTGGTAGTATACTAGATCAAACATCTTAACTTACCGAATAAATATTCAAATCGAAATAGCTCCACAAGATGAAATGATTTTATATCATTGGATTCATTATCTCAGGATGAAGAGACTAATGAAAATAAAAAAATAAATTGAAGGAACCAATAAATTAACAGTAATTGACAGGGCGAAAACAGTTTCCATTTGCTCTCCCCTTCTTTTTTATCCTTTTGTATTTTTCTAATCTAAATGAAAGTAAATAAAAATAATAAACAATGAATTCTAAGCTTCCAAGAAACCAGTCATTCTGAGAATCGTATTCCGGACATGACTCAAAGCCCTTCCTTTAAGCGGCCGCCCGTTTCCTGTGCACATCGAGAACGCCATCTTCCCTGCAATACGCCGCCGCACGATCAGATGCGGCGGCACCATATCTCCCCCGTCCCACTGCTCCTCCTTGTAGTAATCTCCGTTGCTGTCGTCCTCGGAGCCGCTGAACCGGTCGAACATGTTGTCGGGGATTTTGACCGGCACCGACTTGATAATATTATTGTTGCTGCTGCTGTTGTTGTTGTTGTTAACATTTCCCATTTTCTTCTTCTTCGAGAGATTCGACTTGTCGTTTTGATGGTGACGCCGGAAATCCAAGCGGGTTTCGAAGTCGAGATTATCCATGGAGAAGATGACCTCCGATTCTTGAAACTCGTAGTCAGCCATAGCTAGATTCACACAGAGCTGAGAGGAATTTGATTTGCAATTAAATATTAACGGAAATTGGGTTTATGAGAAGTTGGGATTTCGTAGGGTTTATAGTAGAGAGGAAGAAATGAAATGTGGGAATCCAAATCGTAGCGAGTACACTTTGTTATTTGTGTTGTCAGATGGCGTCACTGTCTCAGGCCATTGAGTGCGGCCCCCGCCAGCATTTTCTTTATTCAAAATTTATCTCTCTCCATTAAACTTTTTATTAAACAAAAAGTCCAATAATGATTGATTGGATGACGATTTTAGGTAATTTTTTAAAGAAGTTTTAACGAAATACTTTTGGTACTGTTTATTTTTAATGAAAAATCATTTTTTTACCTTTCTCTGGTACTATTCACTACACTCTTATTTGTCATTTTTTTTATATTAAAACTAAAGTTTTTTTTTAACTTTTCGTTAGTTTTTATTTATTTATTTATTTTTTTACGGGAGAATGCTCTAATATGCTACTCTAATTTACAAGAAAGAAAATTTAAACTTGGGTGCTTGAGAGCAGATGTCTCAGCCAATCAACTTAATCTACGTCTACAATTTCACTTTTTTTAGAGAATCATATAGTTTCACTTGTCTCGGTTGAAGTTATATAGTTCTCGGCCTCATTTGGTGTCAAATTGCATAGGAATGGATATAGTATGGTGAAGATAAAAATGAAAAAAATTGTATCTAACTTAAAAGCAAAAGATGAATTACTCATTAAATAAATTGTATCCATTAAAATCCACCACAAAATAGTAGGATTAGAAGGATAAGTTTCCTTCGTGTCTCTATTCTACTCATCATCCTCCCAAATTGAAAGTTAATTAATCACATCCACCTTCAATTTACCTTGCATGTTATGAGTTACTTAGTCCATTCCTCTCTAGACACCCAAACAAGCCCTAAGCTCGTATTTTTCTAATTTAAGAACAATAGTTTAGTAATGTGTATTTTTGACAAAATTTAGTGTTGGAACCAAATCATGATCTCACATTTAGTACGATTGTAATATATGTGAAGACATTTGCTCTTCAGAACCGCAAGTTATAGTGTGGCCTTTTTTATACTACAATAAGGCGTTGAGGATTAAATTGGTATTGAACTCGTTATTTACGAGATTCAAATCTCATACGTCTTACTTACAAGTGAAGAAAAATATCACTAAATTGTAGTACTAAGTAACGATAATGTGTTTAAACAATAATTTAATCTTATTTTAAATATTTTTGTAGACTTTCGAACTTCCTGTCTCATTCTATGGAATAGATCCTTTCTGAATCCCCTTTCATCCCTAGTTCCCACTGCATATATTTCCCCGACGACCTTCAAACCCTCCCATCTTCTTATTTTTCTTTCTTTCTCTACGTTTCTGCTTCGCAAAAAAGAAGGCATGTTGAAGAGAATGAGAAGGGAGTGAGAAAATTGAAGAGGAAGAGTAACCTCAGCCGCACAATTTTATGTGAACGGTTGAGATTATTTGATCTGCAGAATCTGAATGGTTCGGATCCGAAGAGGATCCTGTTCCTCTTTCTATCACCTCACGGCTCTTCTCTTTAGCTAATTAACTGCATATTGACTTGGTGTATTTTTGGTTGTGCTGGCTCAGCTTTAGGGGGTATTTGATTGGGTTCCGTTTTCTACTTAATCCTTTTGGTCAAAAGTTGAGTTCTTGTTTTGTGGTATTTCAATTTGTACTTAAATACGGATGCAATGCAAGGGCTTGGGCAACAGTGCACGCATGGTGAATTGACAATTGGTGTCAATTTATATAAAAGGAATGGGGTTATGTTGAATTTTTTAAACAAACCCATTAAGATTTGCTTAATTTTATATCTTCTGTTGAACAAAACAATAAATGCAGAACGATTATTTGGCTTAATCTCGTCTTTATCTTTAACATGATGTCAACGCTTAGCGACGCGGCGAATTTTTTTTGTGTAATGTTGTCATCCTTATTAATTTAATCATATTATTACAATCTTCACAATACTCATTCGTGCATATAATGTTTTACCACAGTGACTGAAATCAATAATGCTTATACATTTTAATGGGGTTCGATCGCCCTCCCTCCTAACATTTAACAGTTTAACTCACTAAGGTTATCGTTTGTAAAAAAAAAAAAAAAAAAAAAAAAAGGAGATATTAATCCCATATTTGATTATTAATTAACACAAAAAAAAAAGAGATACTACTTGGTTGCTGCAAATTTAGTAGCAGCTCTTGCTTCTACCCAACTATATATAGATACTTATCCAAATAGTTGAACTTGTAAACACCGATTAAACATGTGTCCATTTGTAATTGGGTAAAAGAAGGAGCTGCTGAATTTACAGCAGCCAAGTAGTGTTTTAGCTGTAGCACTGGAAAGTATGTTGCGTTTTATAACAAGTAACAAAAAAATCATATTCGAATGAAAATTTCTTTATATTTCCGTTTGTTTCAGATTTTAACTTCGATTCACACGAATTTTACGACCATATATGTGTAAGATGAATCCGATGTCTAATAGTGACAAGCTCTGTTGTGATGATGTGCCTTTATGGTTCATCATAATGTTGCCATGGAAACAAGATATGTAGGTGAAATATAATTTACGTGCATGGAGATTAAATGAACGTTCAGGTTCAAATAAATATTCTACAGAAAAATTATTTGTGTTAAAAAATTTAAAAAAAAAAAAACAGAAAATTTGAGAGAGCTAGTAGGCAAGCCGAGCCGAGTTGCTTGCAAATCAGCTTGCGGTGACTTGTGCGAGCTGTAACATTCAGCAATGATTGGGCGGTAAAGGCGTCGGTGTAAAGCTACGGATCAGCCAGCGCGGCGCATCCTACGCCTCATGCTTCGCGTCAGAGCGGGGCCCAGATTCCCAAGGGCGTGGGGTGAGGTCCACCTAATTTATCGAGTTACCGCAAGAGAATGATTCGGGGATACGACAGCACCAATGGAAGAGAGACACGTCGCGAGTGACATCAGCCGGACACACACAGGGTACTGCAGCGCGGGAATCTGATTGATTGGTGAGCTTGGATGCCACGTTGACTCCGTTGTTTTCGTGTAATAATTAAGTGAAGCAATCTTAGGACTTCTAAAGTGCCAAGTCTTGGTGTTGATGTTTGGGAAGCAAACAAAACCAATGAATGACTAGACAACGTGGACTTTTAGGGTTTTCGCTTGATGAAAGAATACGTTACCATCTTTTAAGTAGTTTTTAATATAGTGATAAAAAATAATAATGTTTATATATTTTGATGTGAATTTTGTTTCTATTGATTTTTTATTATTAATATTTAATTATCTAACCAATTAAAGCAATTGTTTGCAAAACAAATCATTATTTAGATTAAAAAGAAAGAAGTTTTTCCTTCTTCTTTGATTATGAATAATAGAGAAAGAAATAAGAATTTACATATGAAGTTGAAAACTTCTTGTAGATGCGTGTATTATGAGTTAGAATAAAGAACTAAAACGCATTATAATTCCTTTTGCAAGTAAAATTATATGTAAGGTATTTTTAGCTCAAGTAATTAAGAATTATATACTCGAGGTCTGTTCAATTTTCCTTCTCCTCATATAAACAAAATTTAAAATCACATTGTTTAGTTTCATAATTCGATTTGTACGTAATATTTTCCAGCTATGACTAAATCTGAACTTATAACATCTTTCAGCTTTACGACGAGAAAAAGTCATTACATTATTAAGAACTAGTTGATTCAATACCTAAAAAAATGCAATATGATGAAAGTAGAGTATTACCAGAATAAGCAAGCAAACAAGCAATATAATTCATAAGTGTGCAAGTGTGGTCCATGGGAGAGCTGGTTTGCCCTAGTTGATTAGACGTACATAACTCTTTTTAGTGAAAACGACTAAGCACAAGTTCTAGAATTGAAGAGTCTCTGGAGGTTTTGGTATCGGTAGATAGATAGTTTTATATGTCTGTTATTGAATGAATATGACTTCGATCTCATCTATACTATTGATTTAATTTGGTCAGTGTCATCACATAATTAAGAATCGACGACCAGTTATGAATTCATTAATTATGTTATTATAATTATTCAATACGGTTTTTGTCTGAATCAATTCACAAGAGTCTGTTGCTAGCATTTATCTCAATGCATTTGGTTCGATCCTTTCATTTTTCAATTTTCAATATTTATTGTATAAAAAAAATATTTAGATCACAGTTTCTTGTCCATTTTGCAGAAAAGAACGAAAATTCTTGGATTTGAACTCACCAGAAACCCTACATGTACTTACGTGCTCGTAGACTTATATAAGAAATGTTGTGGAAAAATGAAAAGAAAAAAAATGATAAGTGGCATTTGTAATTATTCTTTCCTTAGAGTTATGGTAATATATAGATGGATATACAAAGATATGACAAGGTATAACAATAGACATACATTATGTTTTGGTCTCGCCGATATCCTACGAAACCTTACTGGTATAGAGTGCATGTGATGTACAGATTATCAAATTATTAACAATTAGTCCATTATGTTCAACATAAATAATACTATGCTTTCACATCATATCATCCGATCCAAAAAAAATAAATATAAAAGATAGTGTTATCCACACACCTATTTTTAATTCTCAAACACCTCTTTCAATTTTCCGGCGTTGCATGAATTGAAGAAGATTAAAGACAAAAAATTAATAAAAATATGCAAGAGGCAAAAATGAGTGTGTGAATAACATTATTCAATATAAAATAAAATCTTGAGCTAGTTGTCATTAGTTTACAAAAGCTAGGCTCAATTGATCATCTGACACTAGTTTTCTTAATTTTTCGTTATGAATTACAGAGCACGCCATTTGACCCACAAAATCTGCAACTATGAAGACCTTTCACCAAGGAATTATATTTTAGGGAGTTTTAATGAAAAGTTCACGGTACTGTTCACTTTTCATTTTACCCTTTATTTTGTTCTTATTATTAAAACTTAAAAGTTTTAAGTCCTTTTCATTAATTTTCTTTATATTTTAATAGACCATGAAAAAGCACGAAATATAGTTCTTATTTTGTTAATGGGTTAAAAAAGAATTGCTTGGGGTAGACATATAGCCTCAATGAATTTGCTAATTAACATCCATCTGCCCAAGCCCAATAAGTACGAATCCTATCCACTAACAGACCCAATGAAAGTTGCTTTTTGTTGGAGTGACCGTTTGAATATTGTATTTGTGGTAATTATCTCAAAATATTCACTAAAATATTATCCTACAAGGATTAGGAAAAGCCGGTTTTTCCTACGAAAATTTGGAAACTTTGCTGTTTCTTGTAGGATTATCAGTTGTCCCAGTAATCCTACAAGAGTTAGAAAAGCTTTTTCCCAAGGCTATATATTAAAACGTGGCATATGTGGTGTGTGATTATATTTGTTAAACCTCGGAGTTGCTTTGCTTGGTAAAAGTATTGTACAACATTCTCGCGTTCCCTTTTTAATTCTTCAACGTCTAGTTACACTCAAGTGTCTTGTTTGTTCTACAACCACAGAATCTTTGGTGGTATCTGTTAAGGGTTTTTCGTTTTTCCTAATTTCTAGGGTTTTCTTTTGGTCAAAGAGTTTCTTAGGGTTTTTAATGACGAGTCGGAGAAGACAACAAGGTCAAGGTACATACAGTCTTTATTCTCAACAGCAGCGTCATCATCCCTGGACTAACGATCGCAGTCGGCGTCATGACAATTCATTTACAAGTGTGCCTTACTGGGAAAAGAAATTCTGCATGACCATCGGCTTGATTCCGTGGGGAAAACTCGTGGAAACGAAAAAGTGCATGTCTCTGCACAAGAACATCGTTGAGTGGAATGACTCGGCTGGCGAAGAGGCATTCAAGAAGGCGAAAAGCCGGTTTTGGGCTCAGATGAACGGCCTAATTCCCAGTTCTGACCTATCTTTGCCGGATCCCAACGCGTATATTGATGATATAGATTGGCAGTCGTCAACCGAAAATATTGATCCTCAACTGATTTTGGACTTAGAAAAGAGCAAGGAACATAAACCCGACAATGATCATGGTGATGCCGAAACCCTAGATCATGATCGTGAGTTTGTTATTATCGGCCTTCATCCTGTCAATATAAATCAGACGACATTGCCGTGCAGCGGATGGGGTAAGGAGTTTGAAGAAGAGGATTTGAAAAATAATGAAAATAATAATATTCCTGAAAATCCATGGGAACCTGTTTGGGTTCGTCAGAGGGAAGCTGCAGCCATGGGACGAGGATGGAACAACACAACCAGCTGGGAACAGTGGGAAAAAAATAACTATAATTACAACTCAAGATATAAGAAGTCAAGATTTCATGGTGGTTAAAATGATCACAAAGTTGGAGGGTCGTGGAGGAACAATGGAGGGAGAAGGAACAGATATTCAGTTCATGTTGGTAACCAAAACCTGGCTTCTTGCTACTGATCATAAGGCTCTCGCAGATAGTGAACTTGGAATAATGTCAAGAAATATTAGGACTCGAGTTGGGACAAACCAGTTTTGTAATTAATTAATATCAACAAATATTACTCAATGGATACAATATATTTTCCGTATTAATCTTATTGTTTTTTTTATTAATATGTGATTTTAATCTTTATTATTTAAAAAGTCTATCATATTATTCATAGTTTCATAAAAAGAGATTCCAAAGCAAAATAGAAATAGAATTTCATTTTTGTTGCAAAAAAGGTCGAAAGATAAATTCTTGAAACAGTAAACCCTACAGGATGCACATTCGTATTCCTATATAAAATAATGTGACTGGAATTTATAAATAGTAGCTAGTTGTCACTTGTCAGTAGCTTACAAATTAAGCAAGCCTCAGTTAATCATATGAGAGCTAGTTGTATTTGATTACAGAGCAATTAATCCCACTAATCCCATAAAACCAGGAATTTTCAAGACCTTTTCTCTAAGAAATTAAAAATTAGGCCTTAAAAGTCCCACATAAACAAGGGCTTATAGTTCAGTTGGTTAGGAGTACTTTTGTTCTTGGCAAAGGTCATTAGTTTGATTTCCGCCTCCTAGGATAGTACCATTTTTTATAAAGGAAATACAATAATATATTATATTAAGGGGTGAGCGATTTGGATTAAGCTACACAATGATCAATCATAATAGATTGATAATTTGATATTGAACTTGCCATATGCGAGAACCGAATCTAAGGATTCTCACTTACAAGTAGGGGAAATACCATTGGACCTCCAAAATATCACTTGTGTAAGAAAAAAAATTAAGAAATATTGCCAATAAAATTACACAAATTTTATGTATACCGTACAATGTATGATGAACGAACATGATTACATGATCCCCGGGATCCCTAAGAAAAGGATCCGGCAAGGACAGAGCCGATGTTGAGGGGGTGCAAGTGGTGCCATCGCATAGGGCCCCCAAATCGGAAGGGCCCCGATTTTTCAATTTTGCATGCATATACGTATATATAGTAGTATGTGTAGAATATTGCAAACTTAAGCCTTAGCACAAGTGGTATTATTGCTTCTTTACATCGGCCTAGGGTATGGGTTTGAACCTTGTCTCCATCATTTTTTTTAGTTCCTCTAAATAGTTAAGGTAAAACAATACGCCACCTTTCCACTTGTTGATTTGTTAAATTTGTTTGTGCAATTAGAATTTATAAAAGCTCAATTGAAAAATAAATTTATTTTTTTGGACAAAAAATTACAAAAAAAATTAAAATTTTTAGCACTTCTTAAGGTCTTCAATTCACTTTCGCACATGATCCTGAAATCTCAGGATCGGCCCTGGACGAGGATCCTTTTCCAAACGTATAATAAGCTCATTGTATGTGGTAACATTCATGTCCTAGCCCAAACTCACTAATAGGCCCAACCAATGTTTTTCGACCGTCTCGAGACTGTTTTGAATTGAATGTTTTGATTGTAAATTAGTTATTTCCTAAAAGAGTTAGGAAAATCCGGTATTTCATACAAAAATTAGGAAAAAGCTTTTCCTGGATTTTGTAGGATTACCGGATCTCCTACTAATCCTACAAGATTAGGAAAAGCAGTATTTTCCAAGGCATATCTAAATGTGGTTCTCCATTATGTGGGTGTCTCGTAGCTTTCTTAAACCTTGGCTTCCTTTTTTCAATTCTTCAACTTATTAACCTCAATCAGGTGCTCTTTGTTCAGCAACCACAGAATCTTGGTGGTTATTCGGCTTAATTTGTTTCAGGGCCTTTAGGGTTTCTTATTAATTAGGGTTTCAATGATGAGTTGGCGAAGACAACAAGGTGCATGCAGTTCCTATTCTCGGCCGCAGAGGCACCAATCTTGGACTAAAGATCGTAGTCAGTGCCGTTACGAGTCACTTAGATGTGTGCCTTATTGGGAAAGGAAGTTTTGCACGACGGTTGGATCAGTCCCATGGCGAAAACTCGTCGAAACAAAGAAGTACATGTCTCTCTATAAAAACATCGTTGAGTGGAATGACTCGGCCGGAGAAGAGGCCTTCAACAATGCGAAAAACCGGTTTTGGGCGGAGATGAACGGCCTGATTCCCAGCTCCGACATATCTTTGCCTGATCCCGACATGTACATTGATGACATAGATTGGAGCTCATCATGCAACAATATTGATCCACAACTGATTTTAGACTTGGAAAAGAGCAAGAAACCTAAACCTTCCGACGATCGTGAAGCCGAAACCCTAGGCAATGATCGTGAGTTTGTTATTCTCGGCCTTTATCCTATCTATTTAAATCCGACGAAATTGCCGTGCTCTGGAAGGGGTGATGAGTTTGAAGAGGAGATCTTGAAAAATAAAGAAAATAATGTTCTTGAAAATTATGGAAAGAATGTTGTGGATGATAAGAAAAATCCTTGGGAATCTGCTTGTGTTGGTCAGAGTAAAGCTGCAGTCATAGGAGGAGCATGGAACACCAACACTACTTGGAACAACAACAATTCAAGATATAAGACATCGACGCGGTCGAGATTTCGCGGTGGTTACAATGATCACAAATTTGGAGGGTGGTGGTGGAACAACGGAGGAAGGAGAAGGAACAGATATTCAGTTCAAGTTGGTTATGAAAACCTAGCTTCTTGTTATTGATAAAGCTCAGCCAGTCAGCAAGGCAGGGGCAGCTGTGAAACTTGGAGGGAATTACTTGTTTACACGATCGATTATTTAGAAAATTACAATACGATAAATATATTTTCGTTTTTAATCTTTTAATACTTTTACTATGTATTTCTTTTGTTCTTTTTGATAACAATATGATAAAACAAATTTTTTTGCTTTACTGATTAGTTTTTATTTCTGGGTGGTACTTGTGTTTCTCCTATGTTAGAAGAAATTATAAATTCTTCTCCTTCCTCTCCTATAATCCTACTGATCAAATCAAAAGATATATTATTACTTTTGAGTTTAATAACTTATTCCATAGTATTACTTTGATTGAGATTTTTTCATTAAGAGTGTCTTTGAAAATCTTTGTTAAGGCATTCTCGACTCCACTCATGTTAATGTGACAACTTCTTGATAAATTACATTACATGGCCAACCACATGACACTTAATCAGGCTGTGTTTCCGGTACATTAAAAAATTCCTCTAAAAAGATTATTTTAATAGGAAAAGGCACTAAAAATCTCTCTTAGGCAGACTAATAGGCTCAAATGCAAAGACAGGCCCATGCCAAAAAATGACAAACCCAATCCTCTAGGAATTGGAAGTTCCACTCTCTCTCTCTCTCTCTCTCTCTCTCTCTGTGCCCTTTCGCTTCTGCAACATATGGCATCCATAGCTGATAGGTCCTAAGGATTAAAACCCGTTCAGAGATTTTTCAAATTCGCAATGTATGTTCTCTTTGCTATCGATTGAACCCATGTTTATGTTTATGTTTAGGCACCAAAGTATCCATCTTTGTCTTCAAGTTTCCTGAATTCTTTATGCTCTCTAAGCTTCATTCGGAAAACCCACTTCGAAGACAATCATTAAGAAGTAGTCATTACAAGTACTGGTAAATTATATGGTGATCCAATTGATTGTATGATTTTAAAGTTTTAATTTCATTACCCAGCTGAGCTTTTCATGTTCACATGGTTAAAAATCTGTTCTTTTGAATAACTACCTGTTTTATTGAATTTTTATTTAATATTTAGTCCTGAAATTTTGAAAAAAGCTTGTATTTTTATGCAGAATTAGGAAATGGGTAAGTAGATATTGAATTATTTTAATATGCTTTGCTTCTTGTGCCAGAGATTGTACAGTGGGAAAATGTATTGTGACAAAGGTTTCTTCTATTAGAATCGTTGTACGTTCCTGGTTCATGTAAATTGCTTGCTCAAAGTATTGGCAATTGAAGAAGACTAATGATTGTGAATTCCGGATGTTGTATTCGATGTCAGTTCCCCATATCGGGAATTGATCAGGTGAACAATGAGTTACCTTATTCATAGTTTGTCTAATTTCATTCAGTGTCCACCTTATTCTACTTGCGTGTTTAATCTGATTTATTGGATGACTCATTAGATCACAACTACTGAAGCAACTTTGTTGTTGGGGTTCGGCTACTCTAATTGCAAAACTTCTCTCTTGTGGAAGGTAATTGGGTTGTTCTCATTGTTAAGGCAAGCAAGAAAAGAATTGTCAAACATTTGCTTTACCATTTGATTTCTAAAACTTTGAAGTTTTTATATCACGGTCTTCATCTCTTTCTCGTCTTTTCTTGTAGAAAAATTATGTACATCAGACGGTGGCTATACATACATCCAATGTCAAGTTCTCCCACAAGCAAAGTAGACAACCTTTAACTAGTTCCAAAACAACTGAGAAGTAGGTTTTCTATCTTGCTTTATAGTTAAACATAATCTGTGATTTTCAATGTTCAGTTCAATTGCTTCAAAACGCTGCTTCATCGTTCAAGTGCTATAGTTATTTATGAACATTAATTGTTCTTTAGGTTGTCATAATGTTTGAAGAAGATGTACCTTTGCATGAAATGCAGGAAAATAATCAAGAAGTCAGGAAAGAAAGAGCACCACTTATGGCAGAAAAAGGACTCTGCTGGGTCTGGGCAAAAGGCACTCAATCTTGTCAGAATTGTTAGTCTTTTTTTTTTTTTTTAATTCTTGAGTGTTATACTCTTGCTTTTGGTCTTTCAGCTTTATAACCTTATGACATATGATATGGACCCTCTTCCTACTCTGTTTTCCTCATTAACATTGAAATGACAGGTCTCCAGTCTTCCTAATGAGAAAGAGACCATTTTTGGAGCATTAGATAAATGGACAGCTTGGGAGACAGAGTTTCCATTGATTGCAGCAGCGAAGGCCTTGATAATCTTAAGGAAGAGGAGTCAATGGGTTCGTGTAATTCAAGTATGAGACTTGCGGACTCTACTTCAGATTATTTAGAATTTATACCACATACTTTAGGCGCAACCTGATCCTAGTGACCGCCGTTATTTAATTGCTTTTTAGATAAGTAAAGCTAGTGTGGATGAACAAGTGGAGATTTCACTTTTGAAACATTTTTCTAATGCCATTGCATATGGCATACAAATTAGCTTTTAGTATGAGACCTACATGATTCCCTTTATTGGATAGTTGCATGTGGAGTACAACTTCGCTTGGATCACTCTGAGAACTAAATGCTTAAAAGCACAAATCTGCAAAAATCCGCTTGACATGAGACTACCGAGCGTGCCTTTTCATAGAGATATTCTTCTAGGTGGCTTTGTGATTAATTTCGCCTGTCTAAGCCTTAGAAGGACTTCTTTTGCTAACCATACAAATCAGCTCTGTTAGTTGTTGGATCATCTCATTTTTTAAAATATAAAAAATGCCTTGTGCTCTATAAAAGGCTATGTGACAGTGAAAATTGTTGGATGTATTAAAGATGGCTGGCTATTCTTAGTGCTTTGTCAGGTAGCAAAGTGGATGTTGAGCAAAGGCCAAGGAGCAACAATGGGAACGTATGACACCCTTCTGCTGGCATTTGATATGGATCAGAGGGTCGATGAGGCTGAATCACTGTGGAACATGATTCTGCACACCCATACACGCTCCATCTCAAGGCGGTTGTTTTCTAGGATGATCTCTTTGTATCATCATCACGACATGCAAAGCAAGATAATAGAGGTAATTCGACAATACCGAGCCACTAATACTTTGACGTTTCCACCCTCTTTGCATGATATATTGTACAGTGTTCTGTAACAGATGTCCAAATTAAACGTAAATAAGATATGTCGTCTTAGTGCTAAGATTTGAATTTCTTCCATGAGAAATTCAGGTATTTGCAGACATGGAGGAGTTAGGTGTAAGACCAGATGAAGATACTGTCAGGAGAGTGGCACGTGCTTTCCAGGAATTAGGGCAAGAGGAGAACAAAAAACTCTTTTTAAGAAGATACCAGTGTAAATGGAAGTACATTCACTTTAAGGGTGAAAGAGTTAAAGTAAGAAGAACTAATGCATGGGATGAAGATAATAACTTAAGCAACTGAGATGGACTGGCTGGCATTTAGGATGCACAATGTGACCGTGATATCTGTTTTTCTTCTCTTGTTTTCACCCTTGGATGAGGATATGTACAGATATAGGGTAAGATTCATTGCTACAAAGCTTCAGTAATATTCCGTTGTAAGATATGAGGATTCTGTATGCATCCCTTTGATTTATATAAGTCAAGATCTTAAATATTTTGAATCTGGATTCTCTATGGAAGTGGATTATCTTCTTTAAATGCATGATAGATGTCGGGTGTTGTATGACGTCAGGGCACTGTGAGGTAGGGAAAATTTTCCATTGGCATGTTGCTATAATCGTTGCAAATGGCAATTAGGTGATTTCTATTGAAGCTGATGATGCAGGGTGCAAACCACCTATGCAGTTGATGCTGTTCTATACAATCTGACAGAGTTCGCTTCCATCATGTACTTCACAATTGCGATTGCTACAGAAGTTCTCATCTTCAGAGTTTGCAAATGGTAATAATTTCTTATTTTTCGATCCTAAAAAAGGTGAAATAGGTTTACAACTCCACAGAAAAATATTCTGCCGGAGCCTTTTGATCCGGCAACCCATTCAAGTACTGTAATGCACTGGGAGTCTCCTATCTCTATTTCTGTGTTCCTATGGTTTGCAATGAAATCAAAATCTAGAAGAAATTAAAATGGTGACAGAAAAGTTCTTATGCTAAAGACACTGCAATGGGACTCCTCACAGTGTGGAGTCTATCGGTCCAAGTGTACCACCCAAAGACATACTCATTGCCTTGCTTGCTAAGCATCTCTCTTCTTGCTTTAACTGTTATGGTGAAGCTCTTCTTCTGGCCGACATGATCGAAGAACAACATGCTGGGGGATGCCTTAATGGAGATTCCCAAAGGCGGCTTGGCGGTAAAGAAGTAAATGCTTTTGCTGTCGCCAACATTTGTGACTGTCCTCTTGATGGTCATGGTGTCCTCTAGTTTGGGGATTGCAATGGAAGGGTAGTTCAGGTTGATTGCTGTTGGTGGTGATTTTGGACAATTGAATGTTGGATCGACGTTCTTGGCTACTCCTATACTGCAAATGTATTGAAGATAGTCCTTGTACGAAGCATCATATACAAGGCCGGGGTCTGCTGCCTTTGTGGGACGAAAGTGTCCGGCCCCATATGCAAAGGGGGTAGCAACACTTCCTGATTCATCATCAATGGCAAACCCAAGTTGTTTCTTATTTCAGCTGCAAGGCAAACAATAAAAGTTAAAGATGATCAAACAATGTACCGGTTTTGATCAAGTGCCCTGCCTTGAACGTTCGGGGTATTTAGTTTACCTGTGGTCATGATAGCAGATCTTATGGCAGCACTGCTCCAAGTAGGGTGGATTGCTTTGACAAGTACTGCTGCAGCTGCTACATGAGGGCAAGACATTGAAGTTCCAGAGTCTATATTATACTGAACAACTCGATGATCTATACCTGGACAACTTGGTAGGCGGATCAGCCTCAGTCCACGCTGCCAATATATTCAGCCCTGGAGCTGTGATATCTGGCTGCCCAGGTGAAGGAAGAGAGGTCAAGTTTCAAAACCATTAAATTCCTAAACTTTCGTAGTTTGACATT